CACGACAAGCTTTAATAGCGGCCGAAAAAGTTCAGAATCAACAGCTAAAATTTGGAGCATTGAACTCAAGCAATGGATCTCGATAGCAAGTAAAGAAATGGTAGTACCGGTGCCTTTGGTTTTCTGGGGCACACTGAAGTCAAGAATGGCGCCAATGAGGTTAACTTTTTGGTTGATGCAAGAGACGGCGTCCTCTATCTTAAGAAACTTGTAATCATCCATTTCTGTCTCCGTCCCTGGCTCTCTGCTAATCGCCTAATGCTTAGGGTTTATTTGTTTTTGGAGGGAACTGGCTAGAGGTGTAGACAGGCCGGGGGCCGAGAAGCCTTGCCCAAGCCAGCCCAACATTATTCGGAGTTGGAAGGAAATAAGATCCATTCCCTTAAGGTTTCGGGTGAGTCCATGCCATAAGGCTCAAGATTTGAGGCCTGAGTCCACGGATTCCTTCGACGAGAGGAGTTCTTGCCTTGTCCGTTGAGAAGGGATTATTTTTAAAATATCTGAATTTAAATTTAATTTAAATTTAATTATTTATATTTTACACAAATTTGATTAAAATTGAACACTTAATATGTCACACGCCTTAAATTCTGAAAATAAAAATTAAGTAAATATAAATCACGATTTTCAATTCAAAAGATACCTCTCTGATAAGTTATAAAATATTCATATTTATATTTTTAAAATTTATTTTATTTTTTACTAATGTGAAATTTGTGACATAATAATCAAACTTAATTATTAATACTTGTAAAAACTTTGAACTAAATTTAGAATAAAAATAAATTTAAAATTAATTTATTTATATTATTATTAAAATTAAACTAATACATAAAAATTAACTCATAAAAATTGAAATATTTAAAACAATTAAGGAATTTTAATAAGTATTTCATTAATTATAAATAATTTGTAAATAAAAAATAATGTATAAAAATTAAAATTTAATATTAAAATTATTTTTTATAATCAAATTTGAAGGCTAAATACCCTACAATCACTACTCAAATCCGTGACAACAATTAGTTTTATTATCCAAACTTTATATTAATCCTACTTAATTGAATAGAGTAAGGTTCCTAGTTATAGAGTAGTGCCCAAGGCCATTGTTGAATTATTATAGTATCAATACAATTTAAACTTTATAGTAATATTTTTCTCTCCTAACTATAACTTTATGGTGTAATGAAAAAAAAAAAGGTTAAAATACAAAAAAGACCCTATATGTTTCTGAATTTTTGAAATAAATCCTTATCCTTCAATTTATACCCAATTGAACCCTTCAAGTATTAATTTTATTTAATGAAACCCTTATTGTACTATTTTTGTTCAATCAAACTTTTATATCGGCATGGAAAAAAACTAAATATGAACATCTACGTGATATAAAATCAGAATATACAAGATGGAAACATGTTTTGTTTTTCACCTATCCTTACCAATATAACCATATGCTCCACTTAAACAGTGATTTCCATTAAACTTTGAAGACCTTAGGGAAGGCATGACCTGAAAATGTGAAGAACATTTGCATGCTATACATTCCATTGTAACCACAAACTATGGCATCCTTCATGTTTACAACTCTTCCTTTCAATTTACTTCTAGGAACTAAAATCACTTTAATTGAAAGCCCAGAGAAACTATGACATAGGCTGCGACATTCGTGATGCAGTGTGCAGTCACTTGACTCATGGCCCTCTTTGCAGCATGCTACTCAAAACACCCACAGTTTCATGTTCTGGGCAATTAGATCATGCGCAAACTTTGCAATCTTCTCTGGAAACAAACATCCAGCCTTGTTGCTTAATTGGACTGTAGAGGTCTCCTCCATGTGTGCTGGTCATACTCTTTTGTTTGTTCTTTGGGGCGATCATGATTGCACTTTAGACAAACCCTGTTCCTTCTGTAATTCAAGAAATCACATCTGCAAAGAACATTTTACTGGTAAATAAATATATTCATTTTCAAATCAAAACCGAACACTGAGAGGCAGAGATAGAGAGACATACGAAGGGCATTCCCATTCTCCGGGATTTAGCTGTCTCTTTGGCCTTGCCTCTTGACAACGTAAACACTTCCTATTACTAGCAAAATTCATAAATCCACACCTGCATACAGAAAAGCAAATTTACTAAGAAAGGATCAAACTTAACAAAGTTGCAGACGAGGAGCAAGTTAATCAAGTATGAAGGATCATTCATGTAACCTAGGCTGTAATAAAACCAGAATATAATCCCATAGTCAGATTACATTCTCCCCTATAAATAGTCTCTTCACCATATAAAGCAAAGCATATGCTAGAAAAATTCCAAGTAATTTTCAGGGGTGTCATTTCTTCCAAATTCTCCCGAATTCTTTTTCCAAATCAGCTAATCAGAAGGGTTAATGGCAGTTCAGGTTGCAGTACTACTATAAAATGTTCAAATTAGCCCCGGAATTCTGTAAATGCTGAAATTCATACTTAAAATATCACCCCCCCCACCCACAAAAAAAAAAAAAAA